ATTGATTGTGTCTAGTTTGCACATCAATTCCAGCTCAGCAGTCCCCCATCGGAGCCTGTCCTCGAAGTTTTTCCATTTTAAGATAGCCACCCACAGATCTGTCATAGAATGACCAGACAGGTTAAAGTGTTCTCCCACTGGTCTTTGAGTATTACGATTCCTGACGTCAGATTTGTGTCCATTAACTCTCCTGCGCAGAGACTGTCCGGCCCGGCCAATGTACATGGCAGAGGGGCACCGCCGGCACACGACGGCATACATCACATCGGCAGATGTGCAGGTGAACGAGCCCCCGACGGCATGGCCGACGTGATCAGGCCCCACGATGATGTCACTTGAATAGACATGTGGACAGAGTTGACATCGGGCCTTGCCACAAGGATAGGTTCCTGGGTCAGTGTTTTTGTTCAGTGATGTGTGGTTACTGGTGAGCACCCGCCCCAGGCTGGGGGGCTGTCTGCAAGCGAGGACAGGTCCGTCTCCCAAGATCTGTGAGAGTAAAGGACCATCCCCCAGGATAGGCCGCAGACCCCCGATGATGCGCCGGAGAGGTTCCAGCCGGGGGCCGAAGGCGACAGCCAGTGGTGCCCTGCCACCTTCCCTGTTGGCCCTGTCCTGTAGGAGGTGACCTCTGGGTACTCGTCTGGCTCCGTCAATCCGTTTCCCCACTTCAGCAGGTGGGCACTGTAGTCCCAAGAATGCTTGATAGAGATCCTGTAGGTGCCTGTCTCTATCCGAGGGACTAGAGCAAATGTGGCTATATCCTAGAGCCTGGCCGCAGACAACGGACCGTGTGGTGTGTCCTGGATGGAAGCTGGAGGCATGTAGGCAAGTGTAGCGGTCAGTAGGTCTCCGGTTCAGGGTGGTATCCATGTGACCACCGCTTATCAGCACAGTAGTGTCCAGGAAATGGACCGCCTGTGTGGACTGATCCAGGCTGAGGCCGATGGTGGGATGGAAATTATTGAAATCATGGTGGAATTCCTCAAGGGCTTCCCCTCCACGGGTCCAGATGATGAATACGTCATCAATGCAGTGCAAGCAGAGCAGGGGTGCCAGGGGACGAGAGCTAAGGAAGCGCCGTTCCAAGCCAGCCATAAAAATGTTGGCATACTGTGGGACCATGCGGGTACCCATATATTTGGAGGGGAGATAGTGGTTTAAAACCTGAAGACTCTTAGCCCGCCCAGAATGTGGGAGGAAGGCCATTGGGAGAGGGAGTTGCCAGCTGGAGGTGTTTTGGGATACTCTTGCTGAAGTTACCAAGGAAAGTCCATTCAGACCCCAGAGACTGGTCTATAAAGGATGATTGAGGTCCAGGCTAATGAGAAGGTGGATCCAACTGAGAGAACATCAGACTCTGTGGTTTATGAAACGGAAGCCTGAAGTTTGATTTTCCAGGGCTTTAAAAGGACAGATGATTGGTACCATAGTCATTCATAGATTTTAATTGTGTGTAATAAATTACAAATTTATTAATTTAGTCTGGTGTGGAGCTGCGATGAATGGGGATTTCTTCAGTGGCCTTTGAAGAATTCCCCCCATCCCTACCAGGAGAACCTCCTTCTCTCCTTCCTTGTAACAATGGAGCAGATGGAGACATTCCCTGAGGTAAAAGTACCAGGTCAGAAGCTTAGTGATGGCAGCAGGTAACCAAGACCATCTCACAGAAAATCCAGGGTAGTGACACTTGGGCAGCCATTTATGGTTGTGCGATATGGGTATAAAATGCTATCATTCTGACCTGGTAGTATTTTATACCAACTTTGCACTGACATAAAGGACTACACATAAGGTTAAGATTATGTGTCAGTTATTTCTAGTAAAAGTCAAAGACAGGTCATGGCAGGGCCGTCCTTACCCATAGGCAAAGTACGCAGCTGCGTAGGGCACTAGGAAATTGGGGGCACCAAATTTCCTGGTGCCCTGCGCAACCGCATACTGCTGCAGTCCCTGCTCTGCCCCGCCCTGCCCCTTCCCTGCTCCAGCCCCGCCGCTGCCCAGCTCCGCCCCACCCCCACTCCCCTGAGCTCTTCAGCAGGGCCAGGGCTGCACTCACCGGTGGTGGGAGTGCAGCGACCCGGCCCCAGCCACGCTGCCGGTGAGTGCTGGGGGGTGGTGCCCCTCTGCCCCCCCAAGCCAGCCCTGCCCCCACTGCAGAGGCCTGGGGCCTGCTCCTCGGCCCCGCCCCCTTCCCGCGGAGGCCTGGGGCCTGCTCCTCGCCCTGCCCCCACAGAGGCGTGGGGCCCCACTCCCCCCCACGCAGGGAGGCTGTGAAGGGCCCCAGAATAGCTAGGAATGTCCCTGGGTCATGTCCAATAAAAAAGAATTCACAGAAGCCTGAGCTTCCCCAGGATGGGGCTGAAGCCCTAGCCCCACTAACCAGGGAGCTGGGGGCTGACAGCCAAAGCCGTTCTTCCCACCCAGGGGAGCTGACAACTGGAGCCCCGCTGCCCGGGATTAACAGTCAAAGCCCTGAAGTCTCAGAGGTCACAAAAACTCACTGGATCTGTGACCTCTGTGACTGACTTGTAGCCTTAACTATACACAATGCAGGACGAAGGAGAATCAAACATAGGACCTTTCTTTATTTATTTGGAAAGAAGAGATTTCATATTCCCAATGGAAGACACATCATTGATTCTATTCCTGGATGCCCATGGTATTGATCTTTAAAATTCTGACATTTTTATGTATTGAAAGGCTATTTTAGGTCAACGTTGGCGGTGTTTTAAATTTATGAACTATATGTTTTCTCTCTCCGAGAGTCTGTACTGTCAAACACATGGTAACTAAGGCAGCAGCTGTAGGGATACAAAAAATAGTCCCAATACCATTATTTTTAAATTACCTAAAATGTTTCAAAAAGACATTTTGTTTTTCTGTAAAATCCATGGAGAACACATGATGATACAATGTTTTACAAAGGTTTTACTGACATGACTTCGGGATGACCTGCTTTCATGACTTCATGAACAATTTCGCAATTTCGATCCACTTCAATAGTGTCCTCCAAAATGAATGTCGACACAAAAATTGAACCAAATGGTTTATCCTTCTTCAGTGAGAACTAGAAAACCAGCCATATTGTGGAAGCATGAACAGTTCCACTGGAACACATAGAGATAAAATAGTTTCACACTTGGATAAACACAAAAATAGATGAACCAATTTTGCTCAGACGCTCCATTGGTAAGTGGCTAAGACTGATATCAAAAGTCCAGTCCTATATTCCTTAGCTATAATTAGGTCACAAAATGATAATAATCCAAAGTCACTACCATCTGATGGCCATTCGTTAGCTGCATGAAATGTGACAGCAGTCTCAGTCCATTTTCTCATGCCTATGAATCCCCATCACTAAAAAGGGCCTGAGATATGATGGTGATGGATGCCGATGTAAAAATCAGTCCAAGAAAACATATTACCTCTCTTACCTTGTCTCTCTAATGTAAAATTCTAGACAGACAGACATAACACCATTAAAATGAGCATGAACTGATATTCTTGTTGGTAGTCTTAGCAAAGGAAAGAGAACGAATTGTCATGGCAAGTCAATTGTCCTTTCATCCCTAGAGATAGTACTTGCAGAAAGGATTTAGACCAGAAGTTCTCAAACTGTGGGTCAGGACCCTAAAGTGGGTCACAACCCAGTTTTAATGGGGTCTCCAGGGCTTACATCAGACTTGCTGGGGCCTGGGGCTGCAGCCCAAGCCCCACCACCAGGGTCAAAGATGTAGTTCAAGGACTTCAGCCCTGGGTGGCAGGGCTCAGGTTACAGGCCTGGGGCTTAAGCTCTTTGCCTTTGGCCGCCCTGCGTGGGGCAGCAGGGCTCTGGATTTGGACCTCTGCCTGGGGCAGTGGAGCTCAGGCGGGCTCAGCCTTTGGTCCCCCCCTTCTGGGGTTGTGTAGTAATTTTTGTTGTCAGACGAGAGTCACAGTGTAATGAAGTTTGAGAACCCCTGATTTAGCCATATCAGCTAGCAGTATGAGGAAGATGGCAGTGTCAGTATCTTCATTATGCCCGTTCTGTGGATAAACAGAAGACGTTACTTTCTAATACTGTATATGGAATAATAATAAGTGGAAAATATTATAAATAATGTACTGTGCAACTGTTTTATAGAAGGAAAAATGCTACTGTCATTAATTCAATCTATGATACACAGAGATTTATAGAAAAGCTTTAAATATTTATATGCCTTTCTCCATTAATACATAAGTGTATCTTTTAAGAGTTAAGGGCACAGAGTTAGAAGTGAGACGGTAATTTATGGTTTTATAGTTAAGCATTGCAAGAGGAATATTTCTTGGTTTCTAAATGAAATAGGATTATGACTATAGCCCAGACATCGTTCTAACTGTGTGATCCCCATATATAGTAGCTGTTACTTTATCTTATACCCTGATCTTGCAATGACATATGCATGTGTTTAACTTTATACACAAAGTAGTCTCATTGACTACAACAGGACTACTCATGCATGTGAAGTTAAGCATGTGTGTAATTCTTAACAGAAATGTGGCCTTCATCTGTCCTAATGTCTATTGTTGCTGCTCCATTTTAGGGCATGCATCCATTATAATTGGAGTGTTTAGTCACAACTATAGGCGCTAATATGCTGCCTAAGCATTTCCTCTCTATATCACTGTTCTGAGTAATTCTTAACTCCCTAAAGTAGTTTTCACCTATCAGAATGAAATTTTCCAGACCCCAATATGATTTTTTTTTATTTAGAGAGAGAGAGGAGGACAAGGCAAATTAAGATCATATTGGGAAGATAAAATTCATTTTGTACATAGTCCAGTCTATGAAGTCAAAGCAGATGGAAAAGGATCTGTTAGAGTTCTTCATCGCCTTTCCTTGTGACTCCTTACCATTGGATATAACACCACCCCTCTAAACCACCATAGAGGAAGACATAGAGAACAAGGAAAAATAGCGCAAGGAGAGATCAAAATGAGGACAAGAATTTAGACTGCATTGATTCTGATGCTGAGAGTGAAGATCAACTACTTTATGTAATGATAGTGGATACTGTCCATGGCTGAGAAGCTCTGAATCAGGAGACAGAAACATTTTATGTATGTCTGGATAATGTGAATATTGCTGATCTGGTAAACTTGGAAAGTGCAGATAGGACTGTGTGAATGGTGGGATATTTGCGCCAACCACTGAAAGACATGAATGCCAAAACAAGGCCATGGACGTTGAAACCATAATATTGCTTAAGTGCATGTTATAGAGTACATGAGGGCAGATTATCATCATTCACTGGCATTCAAAGTTGTCCAGCTAGAGAGAGGAGATCCTCAAAGACACTGACCTATGAACATTGAGGGTATGTCTACATTGCAATTAAACGCTAGCTGCTAGTCCATGTGAGCTGACTTGGGCTCATGGGGCTTGGACTCTGGGTCAGTTCAATTGCAGTGTAGATGTTCAGGCTCAGGCTGGAGCCCTGGCTCAGGGACCCCATGATGGGGGAGGGTCCCAGAGTCCAGGCTTCAGCCCAAGTCCCAACATCTACACAGCAATTTTTAGCCCCACAGCTAGTCAGCTGACCTAAGCCACGGGTTTTTTATTCCAGTATAGACGTGCCCTTAAGGTCACCTACTTATTAGTGTTTAATCCAATTTTTGGACTGGTAAATGCACCATGGGGTTATCCTCTCCAGTTTGCTAAATGCCATACCAAGTACCTTTTTCCGTATCTTATTGTGCATTCTATTCAAGACTGATATAATCTTGGTAAATAAAGTGACATTGACTTGTGCTAAGGGTATTGGTTTAAATCAAGTTTTTTATAGCTCTGGATGATTTGTTATTATATTTATTTAAAAGCTATGTTTCTCAATAGCTTGCTATATTGCCAATGACTTTGAATTACATGATCATATAGGGAGCATTATTTAATAAAATGTTAATATAATTGGGAATTTAAACAGTTCTGTTGGCTATTGAGTTGCCACAATTGCCACAGACCCTGAGCGTAGAATATACTGAAGAAAAATGCAGACATTTCCATCCTTTGTTATCACAGCTTGTGAAAGAAAAAAGAGAGACAAAGACTTACCTGAAAACAACTGTTATGAGCTTGTGAAATCTGTGGACAGATGAATGGAATGCATGTTATAATTTGTTAATAGAAATGTAGGGATATTACACTTATGAGGGGGAAGTGTAGCATTCATAAGGAAATGCCAGGGTTATATTTACCTACGTCCTGTCCCTGTAAAGAGTGGGGGCACTGCTGAAGACGTCAAAGGTCACAGCTCTGGAGAGAGGAGTGTGGATGGGGCAACAGAATTTGATGTCCTCTGAAAGAACGCAGCAACAAAGGGGTTTGTGCAAGCGGCATTTGTCTGTTTTTGGATATAAGCTTAATACAACTCCCACTTTGAAACTCTCTCTAGTCAGGGAGTGTAAGCTATACATCTTATAAAGTAGGCAGAAAGGGGCTGTAATTTTGTGGCAGAATTCTCCTGTTGACTTGCCCTTTTAGCAAATGTTAGGCATAGTGAGGTTGTGCTAGTGTAAGTGGGAGTGGACCTTGGAGCATTGTCTTCTGTTTAGATTGTGAGTAAATGTGAAAGTGATGCACTGACCCACCATTAAGTATTCCATCTACCACTGCGCAAAGTGCAAAATATTCTCACTTAGGTGACATTTCACTAGTGCTCATGCCCTGGGTTGGCCGTCTGCATTGAGGTGAATGTCACCTTTTGGTAATTAAGACTATTAAGTAATATTTACATTACTACTATTAGGTATAATTGTTTTGGAATTGTCTATGCAGCACCTCAAGCTCCTTCATAAATAAAAATTACTCTCTATCCCTTTGGGTTACCAATAATGAATTGGAGTTTCCACATACCAACTTTTTCATATTTGTGTGGAAGGAAACCTGCAGGGATTAGTCCTAATACCTTAAAGCTAAACAAATATTTACTAAGCTATTCTGCCATCATTTCATGGCCAAAACGAAGTACAAGGTGACTAACATTGTTCTTATATTTGCCACAATCAGCAGTCTGGTAATTTCTGCCTTGTTTTCAAATGTACCACAGACTCTTCTTTTATGGTAATTTTGTGCATATTGCCTCTGAGATGAAGTATGCCATTTTAAGTATTTTATGACTTCTTCATTTCTCGTAGTTTTTTCATTTCCCAGTCTAATATTCAATTTCCTTTCTGAGGACTTTGTCCACGCCAAGCTTGAAGTTTTAAAAGGAAGTTACTGTTACATTTTCTGAGGGCAAAAAAGCATCTGGAGTCCAACTTTTGGAGCTGGAAAGAGACAGAGGCAAAGCTGGTTCCACCCCATGCAATGTGCCAGTGGAGAATTAGAGTGAGGGCCTTCAAGGTGGAGGGATTAGAAAGAGGTCCAGTTCCTTTTCTCCATGCAAGTCTTGTCCAGTCTGGTCCTCCTAGAAAAGTCTCATCTTGGTTGCCATAGCAGTTTCCATTCAAATATATTGGGTACCAGTCCTTCTCATGGTAGAGTCTTTCTTGCTGCTTTACTATATGGCAAGCTCTGTCTTTCTGCAGGCCTCCCCACTTTAGGGTGATTGATCCAGACTGAAACTTGCAGTGCAGATCTCTTTAAACAGCAATAACTTACAAACAATGCAATTTCAAAACAAGCACTCCTGCCACTGAAAATAGTTTTTTGAGTACCCTGCATGTGAATTTTACCTGACAGTTCACTGGGTTCCTTTTTTCCAGTTATAGGTGGTACCAAAGATATTAAAACATTTATTATGGGGCCTTACCCCCTTCTAATGTATACATGAATGTTTGATGTTTTGGTGAGAAAAATTCACTAACCACATTATAAAAAGCCATGGGAGCAGGGATCCATGGATTTGTCAGTTGTGGACTGGATTACTGTAATTCACTGTATCTGCAGCTGAATGTGCAGACAGCGCATCGAATCCAGGTGATGGAAGATGTGGCTGCCTGCCCCCAGCATGGTTTAGACTGCTGTGAACACACCCAGTCCATGCTCCTGTTCTTCCACTGGCTCCCAGTTTGTTTCCAATGTCAGCTGAAGGCCTTGATCCTTATCGCCAAAGCAATTAATGGATCAAGCCCAAGCTAAATTAAACATCCAGTTTCAAACTGTAAACTGTTCAGATAGTTGCTTCCCTCTGGGATAATGCAGATCACAAACTGTATGAGAGCTGGGGGAAAAGCATTCTTTGTGATGGGATCAGGCTATGGAATGAATTTTCAGAGATTAGGCAAATCCAGAATCTGACCATTTATAGTGATATAGGCACTCACCCCTGGAATGCCCACTCATGTCAATGCTGGCATCACACCGTATGCCCCCTGGCAGCTTGGTGTGGAGCGGTGGGTGTGTCCCTGCCTCATTTCCACTTATGACTATCAATACATTCACTTGTATATAGTGAAGGGGGGAGGGAGGGAGATCTAGGTTATTTAAACAAAGGGTGAACAAACATGCAAGCAAGTCCTCCCTTCCCCCTGTCATGTCCTAGCTGACATGGAGGGGAGCAAGTTAATATTAGTCCCTCTTCCCCATATGAGCCCATCTGTCTCCACTGTTGAATCTCTTCACTAGTAAGGCCCTCTGACCCAGGACCCTGTTCTGGAGTTAGGCCTCCTGCTATCATCTGGGGATCGAAAGGCACTGCAGTGACGCCACTATTTTTGTAGCTCTAAATTTGCTTAATGGTTTCACTTAACTGATATTGGCTACCTTACAGGTGGCTTTTATTTTGTTCCTCCCGAGAGCATATATTCCATTAGTACTGAGGCAGGTTTTTGGGGCCAGGTTTTCCATGGAGTACATATTAAGGGTTGAGTCTGCTGAAGTTTTGGAGGTTCTAGTAATAATCAGTGTTCTCTCCATGTTGAAGAACTCTCCAGCATTAATTTTAAACATGCCTGGATAGAGACTGATATTCTGAAATGACACGCTCTGCGTAGCTTGTTCATTTTCTTAACTATGAAGTCCAGGAGTGTCAATCACTGAAACACACACAAGTCTGATTCACACACACACACACACACACACACACACAGAGAGTTAGTGTCCAAAATTCAACCCTTCCTGGAGTTTGCCCTTAACTGTTAACATAAACAACAACCACCCCTCGGCCTAAATTTCATATTGAGCTTGGCTTATCCCTAGAATTTCTCCATGCAGGAACAATCTATCCCAACCCTTAATTCCCTCTCCCCAGAAAGTGATACTCCGACCCCTCTTATATCCTGGTTAGAGTTAACTAGATTTGCCTGCCTTTTTGAGTCAACATAAATTACGTCCTTCCACCTTGTTAATGGCCACATCTAGAAAAACACACCTAGTGCTTGGAATTGTCTTGACAAATCCCTTAGTTCAAATGCAGCATCAAACACAATTCCTATTTTTTGCACAAAATTAGATAAAATCTTAATATTCCTGAGCCAAATGCATATAGCATTTACATATTCAAAAGGGTTGCATGGGGAGAGCTTAAAGACTAGGAGAGCTATGCACAGTGACAAATGGTTACAATAACTTTTACAGGTCTCATTCTAGGTGTTATCTTGTGTTAGTGTAATAAAGATGTGGCACATATGAGTGCTGGTAAGACACTGAAGTTTATCACGTGAACTCAGGCACTTGACAATGGTCAGTATTACAGAATGTTAATATCTCTGTCACATGATAGGGTCAGTATTGACTGACTCCAGTGGCTACTGTTACAGTTATCACCTTTCTGCGTTTGTCAGATGGGACCACCTTCCCCACCACCCAACCAGGAACTCTACCATGAGATGCAACAATGCAGCACCATGACGTTTTTGACACACTATGGCAATTTTCCATTAAAAAAGAAAAGGAAACACCCTACCAAGTTGTGATGGAGCATGATGACATTTAATAGGCCTCAAAAGTGATTTCAGGACCTTTGAAAGTCCCCTAAGCTTGTGGGAAATGGGATGATCTTAATATAATGAGGATGATACCATCAACAGCAGAACCTGAGGTATTCTGAATTGATGGTATGGTGAAGAGTTTATAAAAGGGGAAGGAGAAAATAAATTCCTGAAGCAAAATGTAGGGGAAGTTTAGGGAAATAGAATATTATTTCCCCAAATTAGAATATGGCCAGAACACTGGGGCTTACCCTTGAAGTAGGTGCTATGTGAGCTTTTATAGTCACAAGTAGTTGGAATCTCTGAAGAAGTTCATCTGAAAAATGGCACTGTTCAACAGCAAAGAGACCCTGCTGGTATGATAAGGAATTAATCAAATACTGACTACATAGAATCACCAGCAAAACTTATCATAGTATCTTAAAAATTCTCCAAAGCGTGCAGTCCAGTTACTATGCAAAGTTAGTACTCATATAGGAAACCTACAAAAAACCTACCTAGATGACAAATGAAGTGGTGATGTCTCTGGCGGTGTCACTTTCCCTGAGTCAGAGCTAAATCAGTGTTTCAATGTGATGCTCCAAAGGAACTGTGTTACTGGAGGCAGCTTAGATACTGCCATTTTTGTAATTTGGGTCATTCTTTCTCATGGACTGTAGCTAAATGTTACTGACATTTTTATTTTATTGCTATTCATTTAAGAGATGGGCTTTTAAAATGACACAATTGCAAGCTTCTGAACAATAAGTGGAAATAAGAAAGGGAGGTATTTTAATGATAACATTTTCTCAGAATGTCTGTATTTTAGCAGTGATTCTAATGTAGGCACCTCATATAAAAATAGCATGTAGCAAAATAAAAAACCCCAAACACTTGGAAAATGGAATACAGTGATTACCGTACAACTTAAGGGCTGTATGTGTGCAGGTAAGAAGTGTAGTTCAAGAATTCAGCTTATGTTCTTTTCTGAATAATTTTTGTTGTTGTTGTCAAAAACAAAAAACAAAAAAAAACAAAAACCCGAACTATTGTAATGCCCAGGGAAAAAAATTCACCAAAAGTCAGCAATTAGAAAGGTGATAGTTGGCCTTGATGATGCTTATTGCACCTCCGGAATCACACTGATGTAAGTTCAAGGCTGTAACAATAATAAACATAATCCCCACCTTGGTTATTTTGAGATGCGAACAGACTATAATTTTCAATGGATACCCTTATCAATTATATCACAATTCTGTCCAGATCTTCAAAATAAGTTTAGAGAGTAGAAAGGAAGTGCAAGCTCAAGCACTCCATAAAAAAGTACTTTGTTATTCTCTCATCCACCAAGCCCCATGAGAAATATAGTGCAGATAATGCAGTATGAGGCTGCATTAACATTTGCAAGCCCTCCTTCTGCACCATGGAACTCCAGCTTTAAGGTGGGCCAGCTATTGCCTTATGAGTTCTTGCTACTGAGTTCACTATGGAGCTGTGCAGCTTGGGAAAGAAGAAGAGACCAGGGACCTGAGAGCCAGAACAGAGACACACAAGTTCTCTCTGACTATATCCCTGGTCTTCTGCATATCTCCCAGGACTCATAGAGTTTGGGAGTAGAACCACTACCCAGAGAACAATCCGGAGAAAACTATGATCCCAATGCTGCAATAAGGACCTACTTGGAGCACTCCTGCACCTGAGTGGAGCCACATTGAAGCCAATGAGGCCTCACCCAGGGTGCAGTGGGTAACTTGCACAATGTCCATTGCAGGAATGTGGCCT